TATGATCCAGTAGCAGCACACCAGGATGACGTAAGATGCTAACTGCTAGGAATTCCTGAAAGCAATATTTATGTGCTGCTGTTGGATCTCCCCGTCACGGATCAGAATCAATCGACCCTCCTCCTTTTCCTAGTTCCAATCTTTGCGCGCTTGTTGCTTTTGGTAAATGATGTTAGTGAATCCTAAAATTGTTTCCGGAAAAGAACAAATCATTACTTTTGAAATGCTCCAAAAAAAAAATGTTTTTCTTCCTTTTTCTTCATTTTTAGCCTCGAAGATTTTCCATTTCGTGGTTTTTTAGGTTCCTAGTTCAGCTAGTTAATTGCGCTTCATTCATGTGTCAAGCCATTTTGTTCAAAATCAGTTAAATGATTTTTTGAGGACGAATATGTGGATTTCTTGCGACAGAAATATCCGTTCTGGAAGCCAACTGAAATTTCAGCACGTCCACCGGTAAAAGATCGTATATTTTAATAGCTGAAAATTAAAGTCATTTTAAAGCTTTTTATGAGAGAATTAGGGGCTTAAGACTTTTTTAAAAAATATTTGCAGGATGGTTTGAGGCAAAAAGGACTAGACGGTGTTTCAATCAATGGTTAGGTTACGACTTTTGTTTAAATTTAAGCAATTTTTATAGCTTCAGAGTGGAGAAGCTGGAGCCATGAAATCAGTAGTTTAGTTTATTGCTTAACGCAGCGTGGGTTTTTCAGGATCAGTTTACAGGCCTCGCAGTCTTCACCGTCCAACCTATTTGGGCTGATATTATTAGTTGACCTACAAATCCGAAATTTTGATATTTTCGTACGGGAAATCGACTGAGAAACATTGTTATGAGCTGTTGCATGTAGTGTTACCTCCGCTTACTAAACACTAGCAGCAGCTGGTCACAAAAATGCATAGCCTGGTTCGAAAGGATGTCATTGTTAGGATTGTGACATAGATCTGTTTGAGTGCAGTTGATCTAACCGGATAAGTTATGGCGAGCATTGGAGGATTCACGACTGATTGGGACAATCTGTGGAAGTCAAGTTAGCCGTTTGAACATGAGCATTGAGGCTAACGCAGTATATTATGTAAGGAATTTGTGACGCGCTGCATCCATTTGACTTTTGAAATAATCTGTTCCACATTTTTTCCTGTCCGTGTAGTTGTTTTGTAGGGATGCTGGATCTCACTATCTTGGAAAGTCATCAAAAACAGAAAATTTATCCTCATTTTTTGCATGCCACCTTCAATCAAGAAAAAATTTGTAGCCCACTTCATCGCTGCAAGGAGCGAACAAACGTATCTTGGACATTTTGGCAACAAGTAAATATCACTGGAACCTTGGAAAGCAACAGCATGCTCCAGAAACTCAATATGAGCCGAAGAAATTCGAGCCAAATGATCCCATACCGTCAAGGTTGCTTTTTTTGAAAAGTTATCAAGAATTTTTTGTGACATTCGTCAGCAGATATCGCGCAGTAATTGTAGGACAGCCTTTGGTCTGAGAAATGCCATTTCAAGTGATACAATGTGTAGGGAATTTTCCGCACAAAAATCGCCCATTTTCTTGCTTTTTCCTCCAGATGATTCTTTGGAGTATCGAGTAAATTAACTGATCAGATTTTTTGACTTAACAGTCCTCCTGCTTCTCATTTCCACTTACTTAGGGGGCCAGCACTGGAACCAGATTTGCAGCGAATTAGAAAACGCTTAGCCGAAATTGCCTCCGACTTGGAGAATTTGCGCGAACATCGGCTTCATCTTTCTACGACAGAATACTTTCACTCGATTGGGCATCAGTTTTGGTCGACCGAAAATCGAGAATTGCCAGGGAAAAAGACAGACAGCGAGCCGTTGCGAAACTTTTATTTGATACGGCGACAAATTGAACAGATCGGTGAGTTTGCATTTGAGTCTCTTTGCAAGCTAAAATTGATCTATCTTCATTCTCTAGGTGTTTATTTGGCCAGGGAATATTCTTTTGTGAACTCATTTTTGCCAAACAATCTTTTAGTGAATTTTACCTTTGATTTCGGAAGCACTTGCTTTATAGGGTCCAGCCTTGAGTATATTTTCTTAGCTTTCTTACTTTGGAAAGCACACTGTAGCGGGTAGGCATTCCATATGCATTTATCTTGTCTGGCATCAACGCAGTTGCATTCGTCTTACTGACAAGGTTCAGCTATGGTGCT